CCCCTTCCCCCCGCCCTCCGGCACCTGCCTTTTGTTCTAGAGTTCTCTGCTCCTTGTGACAGAACAGGGGTGTTCCAGCCCTGGCCTCTCGCTGCTGAGTCTGGCACCATGCTGTGCCCCGGCTCCTACAGCTCTTGCTGTGTTTGCTCTCCCATTTATTTTAGTGTTGACAAAGTTCCTGCCTTCAGTATAGATGTCTTAGCATGGACCATCAAAAGGTATTTGTAATCTTTTAAACAAGGAAGAAAGCTTTCCTTTACAGGTTGAATATTTAAGATGACTGTAAGCATTGCTTAATTGTAATCTACGTTAAGATGTATGCTCAAATGTGAAGAGTTTTAAATCTTTTCTTCCGCATAGAATAAAACTGACAAGGAGAAGGAAGAGAAATATTCACCTAAAACCTGTAAATTGCGACGTTTGTCAAAACCACCCTTTCACACCAGCACATCACCAGAGACTGGGTCCAAACTTGACAGCACTGAAGCCAAAAATACTGATCAAGCTCCAGTTAAATCAATAGAAATTACTTCTATCATTAATGGACTACAAGGTAGCGTACTTAAACTTTTTCTAATTCTGTAAATGGCCTTTAAACAGTAGTAAATGACGATGTAGAACAACTGATACAACTGTCCACTTGAGTCTGTCTGGCTAATTGTAACATCATCTTCAGAAATAATCCTTGAAGCAAAGCAAAATTCACTCACAGTTTCTGAAAATAGGTATTGTGGATTCAGTGTATGTTAACAGTCTTAAGAATGACATCCTTTGTTTTGCCTTCTCTTATGTTTGTTACACAGCAAAGCATTTTTGCTTCCTATATTATTTTTAAATTCTTAATGTTTTATTTAGGTAACTTTTAGGATCCATGATTTTTTTTTCCACCCTTGAAAACGGAATTAATAAAGCTAGGTTTTCTATCACCACATCTGTTATTCCTGACGTTGTTTTCCCCTTCCATCACATTTACAGTAGCATTATAATAACTAGTTGCTTCTCTTCATCCTTAGTTTAGTGCATGCCTCCAGAAAAAAGAAATCACATATGGTGTGGGTAGTTTGGGTGACCACCAGTTTTGGTGGAAATTGGATTACTTTAATAATCTTTCAGTCTTACTTGAATTTGGATGACATTGGCACTGGGTTCCAAATTTGTAGGTAGAATAACAGTCAACATAATCTAGTAAGCTTCGTTTCCTTAGGAAATGAGAAATAAAAAAGCAATTAGTGGTGATGATAGTGGCACTGTTATTAGTGCTATAATTAATCTGTAAATAACTTCTGATTACAAAAGCACAGTTTAACATACTCTCTCTAATATTTTTGGAAAGCTAAATGTTTTCTGTATTATGTAACTAATTTCCAGAAATGCTTTTAATTGTATGCTATTCTTTTATCATTTAAGTCCGCATAGATTCATGCTGGGAATTTTTTTTTTCCCTTTTACTTGTGGGGTTTTGGTTTTGAGTATGAACGGCTCTATTGTTTTACTGTTTCTTTTTCCTCCAATTTTAAAGCTGCTTACTCAGAACTTCTTCTAGGTTTTGGTTGGTTGTTTTTTTCCTCAAACTGGAATGATTGATACTATTGTATTCCACATTCCTTTGAAGGGTACTGGAAAGTAAATAGGTTGAGAGGAAAACTTGATGGACCAGATTTTTGGTTGTTGGTTGTTTGTTTTTGTGTTTGTTTTTTTTAAAATGTGATGTTCTTGGCTTTCATTTGAAATCACTAATTTTGATACCTCCTATATTATAGTAGTAGTGTAGTCTTGATCCTCTAAGGTATGAGAAAGGCAAGTGAAGAAGTCCATTTTAAGTGGTGCAGTTCTTGGAACTTTAGGCCAAAATGTCTACCATAAATGTTTAATTAGAAAAAAGCAAACAGTGCTGAAAGGGTTGTGTAAAAACTGCTTTTGGATTGAGTATTAGAGTAGAATTCAAGATCCTGCCTATCCTAAAACTAATTAACCAAGAAAAACACCTGAGGCAACATTTCTCAAGGTGTTTTGTCCTGTACATCTCTTCTCTCTGTTAGTCTGCTCTTCTCTCCAGAACTGGATGCAGTACTCCAGGTGAGGTCTCACCAGAGCAGAGCAGAGGGGCAGAATCACCTCCCTCGCCCTGCTGGCCACACTTCTTTTGATGCAGCCCAGGATGCAGTTGGCCTTCTGGGCTGCAAGCGCACATTGCCAGCTTACATTGAACTTCTCATCAACCAACACCCCCCAAGTCCTTCTCCTCGGTGCTCTTGACCCATTCTCCGCCCAGCCTGTATTTGTGCTTGGAATTGCTCTGACCCAGATGGAGAATCTTGCACTTGGCCTTGCATTGTTTGCATGGGCCCACCTCTCCAGCCTGTCAGGATCCCTCTGGATGGATCCCTTCCTTCCAGCTTGTCAACCACACTTCCTGTTGAAAAAAGGAACTGAAAGCAGTTCCTTTTTCCAGATTGGTCATCAGGTTGGTTTGTTAGAGATTATCCAGTGTCTTTGTTCTGTCCTTTTAGACTGTGGATTTTCAATGGAAAATCCTGTCTCTGTTCTGGGCTTTGGAAGAAGGGCAGATAATGGTAGTATTTGTAACCCATAAGAAATATTGAGAGGTTTATGTTAAACACATCTTTCAATTTCTGTTTTGGTTAATTATGCAGAAGTTTTTATTTTATAGATGGATGCATTCTATGCTTTTTCCACCTCTTCAGAAATTCCTGGAGGTGTACTGTAAAATACAGAATTTTACTGGTTCCTAATGTAGCTGTTATACCTTCTAAGAGAACACAAAATTAGTTTTTGAAGTCTTCAGGAGGTACCATTTAAAATACATACTACTAGAGATTCCCGTAACATGTTCGTATCTGTACGGTTTTCTTTAGCTGCTTTTTTTACGAACTCTTTATAACCAGAATCAAGACAAACTTTTCTTTTTTTCTATTTTTTTTTACATTAATTTTTAATTAGCTTCTGAAAGTTCTGATGATAGTGAGCAGGAAGATGACCAAAGTGCCGTGAATGTACATGCTGATGGCAAAGAGGAGTCTCAACATGAAGCTGTAAGTCAAGATAAAAATGAACTCTGTCTAAAAGAAGAACAGAGCATTTTATCCCTCCCAGAAGAAACGAAAGCTCTGACAGATGTGGTAGTGCCCAAGTCAGGATCCAAGTCTCCTGAAAGATTGCGAAAAGAGATGGATGAGTTATCTGAAGAGACTGACTCTGATGGAGAAGATGAAGCCACAAAGAAGAGAAAGGATGTAAAAAAGGAGGTAGTGGATAAAACAGCAAAACCACAGGTAAAACGTGGTAAACGAAGATACTGTGTCACAGAGGAATCTTTAAAGACTGTGTCCCCTAACAGAAAGGATGAGAAGTCCAAAAACAAAGACTCCCGTAGTTTAGAAAACAGCAGTAACAGCTCCTCGGATGAAGATGAGGAGGACAAATCCAAACTGAAAATCACTCCAACTAAGAAGTACAACGGACTAGAGGAGAAAAGGAAGTCTTTACGGACAAGTACTTTCTACCCAGGGTTTTCTGAAGTGGGAGAGAAAAGAATAAAGCTTCTTAATAACTCTGATGAAAGACTTCAGAACACCAGAGCGAAGGATCGAAAAGATGTCTGGTCAAGTATTCAGGGACAGTGGCCGAAGAAAACCCTGAAGGAACTGTTCTCAGACTCTGACACTGAAGCTGCTGCCTCTCCTCCACATGCTGCTCCTGCAGATGCTGCAGCAGAGGAACAGCTTCAGACTCTTGCAGAAGAAGACATTTCTTTGCCTAGTTCTGAACTTGAAAAATCTTTGCCAGCTAGTGTGGATGTTAAACCTGTTGAGGAGAAACCGACTGAAGTGGGTGAAAAGAAAGCTGAATTTCCAAGCAGTGGTAGTAATTCAGTGCTAAATACTCCTCCTACAACTCCTGAATCACCTTCATCTGTGACTGTAACAGAGTCCAGTAGACATCAGTCCAGTGTCACTGTCTCTGAGACGCTGCCACCAAATCAAGAAGAGATACGAAGCATTAAAAGTGAAACAGATAGCACAATAGAGGTGGACAGTGTTGCTGGGGAGCTGCAAGATCTCCAGTCAGAGGGAAATATTTCTCCAACAGGTTTTGATGCCAGCGTCAGCTCCAGTAGCAGTAATCAACCAGAGCCAGAGCATACTGAAAAAGGTAAAAGAAAAGGGTAAACAGAGCTGTCTTCAACCTAACCAGGTCTCGTTGTAGCATTGCTGATATATTTTCATTCTGTATGGTTATACTGCTGGAAGGTTAGTTGTTAGGGGAAGTAGTAGCCTGCTGTCTGTGTGGAAATAGCATAATCATCTAGGGAATGAAATACTATCTGCCAGGAAGTTTCTTGGCCTTTCATTAGGAATTGTGATGGTTTCAATGAGGAATAAAGTAGATAAGAATGAAGTTTATTCCAGACCTGGCAGAAGAAGCCCAAAGCAAACTGTAATTCATTGTGTAAGGAATATTTATTGTGACAAGACGGATACGTTTTGAGTACCTTGCTTACAAGAAGATACTGTTTCTTACGTAACATTTTGATTCTCTGTAAGCTGTTATATGGGTGAAGAAAGTGCCAATTTTTGCATGCTTAGGCAACCATTTAAAACTGGCATTCTATGAAATTAATGTTTTTAAAAAATACAAGTCAAACTGATACAAACATTGACCTTATTAGCGATGTTTCACTTTCAGAGGTGATTTTGCAGATTGAAGTTCTGTCCTGAGACCACTAGAGAACAGGAGATAACAAACCCTGCCAGCACTTGTGCATGTGATGTCAGTTACTGCTTAGCTGTTTGCAAGGCTGGATCCAAAAGCTTTTTTGTGAAAGTCACTGGCTCTTTCTCAGGTCCATCAAAAGTACAGCTATTTTTACTGTGTTAAACTGCCTAAAAGAATATTAATACAAAGGAAAGAAACCATACATGTCTGAATATAATCCTGAGATGACAAAAGTGGTTTCTTAATCTCAACAGATTTCAGTTAATAATTAACTGAATTTTCTCAAAATGCCCTTAAGGTGTGTTGCTTTCTTCATTGTTTGAATTGTTCTTTTGAAAGAATGCAACAAAGTGTGTTTCCTTAAACAAAGAAGGAAATTGGGAAGAGGTGAATATGTAGCCTTCAATAAATATGCCTGTATTGCTTTGTTAGTTATAGGTTTGTAGGTTTTTGTTTGCTTTTTTACATAAGGAAATCATTGCCACATGAGAAAAAGTGTTACACTATTGCACAATATTACTTTTACTTGCATTAGACTTTAACTTCTCTAATTTTGTCATCGTGCTGCTTCTTTCAGAAAGTTTTCTTAATTTAAATGGTTTTGTCACAGGACCAGTTTTTAATCTGAAAGTCAGGAGGTTGTGGAACAATGTTTGAACAGTTCCTAAATTTCACTCTTTTAGCAGGTCTACTAGAATTCTTTTATTTTTTGCTTTTTCTTCTTGTAGTCACGAATAGCAGTAGATTTTTCCTTTGTTTTTTTTTGTTTGCCTTCTTTGTTCTGTGGCCTTGTTTTTTAACATTATCTAAGGTGGGGTTTTTTTAATACTTTCAGTTAATGTAATTACTGATCACAAGTGATAGTTCCATTTTTTTCTCACAGCTTCCAAATGTGACAGGCTTTTTTGATCATTTTTCAGTTCCAATAGTTCTTGATAAGTTTTTCATATAAATGTGTTCTTATTTAATTTCCAGTATTAAAAAAAAAAAATCAGTGTGGTTCAAGAGAAATTCTGATGATGCATACGGGAAAGTTACTTGCAGTCATCTTGCATGTGCACCCTAACCAACAAATTTTGTCTGCCTTCCATCCTCTTTTACCTCCTCTTGCCAGTATAAGTAGAAAGCTGAGACCTATTAAGGGTAAATAGGAACAGTGGCATTGTTTGTTTACAAACTTAAGCTCTGAAGTGTTTTATTTGAGACTTAAAGAAAAACACACAGAAGTGCAAGTATTTATTTAACTTTTTAATTTTTTTAATTCTAGTCTGTACAGGCCAAAAAAGACTTAAAGATGCTCAGGGAGGAGGCAGCTCCTCAAAAAAGCAGAAAAGAAGCCACAAAACATCTGTGAACAACAAAAAGAAGAGTAAAACTAGTAAGTACAGCAGCTCAGTGTGAAATGAAATGTGTGAAAGTACTGTGTCATTTGTTTGAATGGTTGTGGGAGATTAAGTCTGGAAATAAAAAATGTATTAGGACAAAATGTTCTCACCGGGGTATTCTTAATACCATTTAAATGAATAAACTACTCTTCCTGAATGCCAAATTGGTTTTTAAATGTCTTGTGTTATTTTTGGGCCTATTTCTAAGAGGTTCTTAATACTGTGTAATTCAGGAAGACCAGAAGAGCAAGTATTTTACCTTTGGTAGAACTGAGACAGGAAATCTCTGTGGCATGATAGCTGCATGTTTTAGAGGGGACCTAGATGAAATTATACAGCTTTTTTAGTTTTTTTTGTAGTTGTAGAAGCTAATTGGAATAGATGCCACAGTACTCGGGAAGAGAAGCTGAATAAAAGTAGAGGTGTGTTAAAGAGATGTATGCACACATGTTCAGGAGACAGCAAGATTGATTACTGCCTCATCTTACTGTTAATAAAAATACCAGGGAACAGTCAGCTGGAGAGTGAAACCAGGAGGATAGCTGTAAAAAGCACAGCTAAAGCAAGTATAGAAAGCATATGCTATGACTTTTTATTCTTTCTCTTCCTCCCCCTGCTACACCCTTTTCTTTTAACAGCTCTTACTAGAAGTTTGCACTGTCTGGTATTTGCTTTCACCTCACCTGTCCATCATCTTCATTGATTCTCTCTTCACATTCTCTCATCCTTTTTCATTCCATCTCACTAATCTCCTTCTTCCATAATCCCTATTCCTTCCCTCACCCCAGGAATTAAAGTAACAAAACAGACTGAATTTGCAGACCTAATATACCATTTTAAGCCTTGCCATTGTTCCCTTTGATTTGGTGAATATATCAAGTTTTTCTCAACCTGTGTCTTCGTCAGGATGCAAGTACTTCAAAGCCTGAATTGTTTCTTGTACCATGTACATTCCCTTGAGTGTATGTACTCTTTTTGTTAGACTTGAGGCATTGCTGTATGTAATAAAGTCAATAAATTGATAAAATATGGAGTCAGTTGTGAGCAAAAAATGTTTTTTGCAAAATTCAGGCATACTAGGTAAAGCTGCACTTGCAGCAGCTTCCACTCTTGTCTTTGGCAAGCTCTGGAGCCAGCTGAGTTGTTTCATACCACATTTATCTTGGTGTTTGGTTTCTCCAGTGTAGATCACCAGATCATAAAGACAGGAACCAAAAGAGACTTTGAGGGTTCATTTTATCAACATCTAGGGCATGTACAACTGAGGCATAAGTTTCTGTTGATAAATGTTTCTTGAACATGTTCTTAAAAACAACACTAATGGTGGTGCAGCTTTCCCTAGGCATTTTACTCCAGTGCTTTACTAGATTTGTGTTGAATTATTATCTCTTGCCCCTGCTTCCACCCCAGTTCCATTTTTGTAATGCTGAACAGGCTTCATCCTTTCAATCATTACTCATAAATCATGTCTTTTAGACAGATTATTTTGTTACTTTCCTTTGGGTGGTTTGATTAGAAAACTCTTCAGTTCAGCCTGTTACTTTCTAGTTAGTTATTTCAGTGTGAGATGAAGTTCTGTTTTGGCTCAGATCCATGCTAGTCATTTTAGCACAGAAAACTGAAAATAAATAAGGTGACATAAGGCTAAGAAAAAGGCCAATTGTTTAGTCTCATTTCTGCTATGCATGTCCTAGGAGTACAGTGAAAAGCTTATCTGTAACTAGTACCTCTAAAACAGGGTAGAGGTTTGTATATATTGAATGCTCTATTAGAAATTAAGAAAAAGACAAACTGGAGACTGGACAGAAGAATCAGTCTTGCTAACTGTTTCAGAAAAAGTATAGCCCCACTAGCAGAAAAACATGGATCATTTTTGTGCCTGCATTGACACATGGACTGCCTCTTTGCCTTATTTTCTAATTGTAGGCAATTTATTTATGGATATGGTTCTAAAATGACAAGTGTGATGCTGTCAGAGTAGAGTGCACCTTCCCTATATGGACCTTGACCAGTTGGGTTGTATTCAAGAATCTGCTTACAAGAAGTGTGTCCTTCCCTCACCCCCTTACATTCTTGCACACCCAGAGCAGTATACTTCCCAGTATCGGGATGGGTTGTGGAGCCACAGTCTGGTACTTTATCCATCCTCTGGCTCTGTTTGGGTCCCGCAGGTCCACATAACAGCTATGAACCTGCCTGCACAGCATCTAATTGAGCTGTGTTTCCAGTGCAAGGTTTCCCTTTCATAGCATGCCAAAATTAGAGAGGTCCCATTGTATACCTGGTCTGTGGTCCTGTCTTTAGGCACTAGTTATACGGAGCTGTCTTCTATACTAGATGGATGATACAATTTTTAGGGTAAAATTATTTTGGTCAAATAAACTGCTGTTATATGAGAATTGGCACAGAGGTAGCTTCTGATAAACTTTGGTTTGGGCAGGAAGGTTGCTTTGATTTGTAACAGTTTATCTTCTTGTTTCTTCAGCAAACAGCAGCGACAGTGAAGAACTATCTGCTGGTGAAAGTCTGTCCAAGTCTCAATCAGCAAAATCGGTTTCTGCTGGCATGAAATCTCACCAAACCAAATCACCCGCAAGAATACAATCTCCAGGAAAATGTGGGAAAAATGGAGAGAAGGAGTCTGATCTCAAAGAACAGAATAATCGTTTGCCCAAAGTTTACAAATGGAGTTTTCAAATGTGTAAGTAGTTCTCCGAAACATACCTAGTGTGGTCTTGCAGTATAGTATAAGAAAGCTTTTTGGAATTTTGTGTATTTTGGTTTTTTTAACTAAATTATTCCATGCTCAGTTTCCTTAATTTTGTGATAAATCCTGATTTAAAAAAAAAAAAATTAAAAAAATTAAATTGCAGTGCAGGAAACTACCTATATTGCACCCTTCAAGTACAGTTTTTAGATATGGCTCCTGTGCTGACCTGGCGTGAATGTAGTCTACTGTATAGGCTTTTTGTATTGATCTTTTCTTACTATTCTACTTCTCCTTCTCTAGTTACTTTTCAGATGCTTACCTGATTTATTTGTAACTTTTTCTCCCTTCTGTTTGGCCTCAGTGAACCAGGACATGTTTACTATTTCTAGTAATATGAACTTTCAGTGTGTTTGTGTCAGTCAGCTGCGGGTACACATATAGCTAGGGGTGCACCATGTTGAAAGGATCATGCATTTGCCTATTTGAAAAACAGTTCAGTAGCTTATTATTGCCTCTATTAATGCAGCTTCTTAAGTGCCTCTGTGTGTGCATATGCTATTGCAGCGTTATTTGCAGTTGGGAGAAAAGAAAAGCAAGATAAAATATTAGGTGATTGAAACCTTCTTCCTCAGTATAACAATAAGCAAACAATTGAAAATAGTGATTTAAAACCAAAACTTGCCATTTTTAGCCCTTTCTCTTGCAGTGTCTGGGTATTTAATTGTCTGGTCAACAATAAATTGTTGTCCTTAGTACTCACCATGGACATACAGCATTGCATGAGTTGCTTTCTCTTTGCTTTTAAAGGCCAAATTGAAACTGTGTGGTGTGACTGATTTAAATTACTTCTCAAACTAATCCACAGTGTCTCATTCAGTATTCACAGATGACCTGAGAGTGTGTCAAGTTTCTGAAGCTCTCAGAGCATTATGCTCTGTGGTTTTTTTTGTGCTCTGTCCCAGGCTGTGTGAAGGCTGCTGTTCCTCACGAAAGGTGGGAACAGGAAAGAGCTGGCACAGCACACTGTGCAGGCACAGCTGCTGAACTTTTTGGGGGTTTTCACCAGCAGCATTCTTTCATGCCCAGAGAATTCTCCACTTAGCCAGCTGTTTCTGCAGTGAAAGAATCTGACCCTACTTTTTTTTTTCTCTCCAGCCCAGAATCTGTGTTACTCTATTCTAAAAGTATTTTTCTCCTAGTATGTCTTCACAGTCAAGTTACATTCTGCTGCTCTTCAGGACTATGTAATGTAATAGGTCTTTATTGTCACCAGCCTGCTGAGATTCATTGAGGAGATTTCATTTAAAGAGCTTTTGCTTCTTCCTTTCTTTTTACCCAGGCTACATTGCACAGGATAAATTTGCTTGGCAGAAGTTGGACTTTGGAGTGCTATTTAACACCTTTCTTGCAGAGGTCTAAGACACTTGTGATGTCTCTGAACTTTTTTCATCTTCCCACAGCCTAATATAGTTGTGGCTTTTGGTCCTTCACTATAGGTTGATGAAGTGCATTCTGCACCCTACAGTAGTTTGAATGGTGCTTAAATGCTTTTGAATGGAGTATCTCCAGTGTGACTTTCCTGTGGCTGAAAGGGACTGAACCGAGAGAGTTCCTCCTGCCTGTGCCCCCATAGCTGAGTGTCGCACTGTGGAGAGCCCCCAGCTGGGAACAACCCAAGGGGCAGCTTCTGTGCTGGCTGTGTCCATTGACACCCCCATGTGGGTTGAGGTCCTGTAAAGTTACACCTTATGGCCCATATGCATGGACTCAATGAGAACCACCCCACAGCTATTCAGATTCCTTTTGTAATCTGCTTGTTCTTTAACAACCTCCTGTGTGACCTAGTCTAGGTGATCCTGCTCTGGCAGGGGGGTTGGACTGGATGATCTTTCGAGGTCCCTTCCAACTCCTGACATTCTATCATTCTGTGAACCAAGGCAATTGGGCAAGGCTGACCTTCCTGCTGTATTAGCCAAACTGAGCTCTAGCAAGGACTCAGAACAACAGACTCAAAGCTAGTTTTGGCCCCTATGTTTTTGCCAGCTGTCTTAATTTTTTCTTCCCTCTTCCTTCTTATGGGAAGGGGAATACCTGCCTTTTCTTCCTCTCCTACTTCCTTAAAAAAGAAGTGTATCTGTAGTGGCGTTTTTTAAAAATAATGAAAAATTAACAAAGTTTGTGATAATAAACAGCAGCTGCTGTTGCCATGTTTCTTGACTGTGCTATCTACTACCTCAAAGCATATCACTAAGATTTGAGTACTTCCCACTTAACTGAAATTCGGAAGCTTTTGGAAATGCTGCAATACAATAATTAACAGACATTGTTTAACTTGCAGCTGACTTGGAAAATTTGACTAGCGCCGAGCGCATAACAGTTCTCCAAGAAAAACTGCAGGAAATCAGGAAACATTACCTGTCCTTGAAATCTGAGGTGGCTTCCATTGACCGAAGAAGAAAGCGCTTAAAGAAAAAAGAGCGGGAAAGTAAGTGCTGGGAACTAAATTCTACTTCTAGAGGGCTAAACTGTATGTCATGTTATGAAGGTGTTAACAGGAATTGGGTAATTTTCAGGAAGGGTGTGGGTCATTAGGAGTGTGGTGGTTGGTTGGTTTGTTTAAAAAAAAAAATCCCACTGTATATGTTTACTTTATAATCTTGAGAAGGTATGGTTCAGATGCCCATTGACTGTGTAAGAGGGAAAAACGTTAAAATGGCACGCAATCTACTTAATTCTGTTCAGGCAGAGCTACTTCATACAGAGGAAAATATACAGAAAAATAAGCTTTTCTAAGCAGTGAACCAAAGTATCTGAGGTTATTAATAACTTAAACTCTTTTTCAAGTTACATAATAATTTACTATAGTATTTGCTTGTGTGTCTGGTTAGTGCTTTCCCCCTTAGGATAAGTGATTTATTTTATGAGTTCAAGGGAGACTATCAATTAAATCTCATTTCCCTGAAGCTGCTTTACTTGCTGCTGTAGGCAGTGTTCTAGTGTGCCTGCTTCTAGCAGCATTAAAATGATTATTTTCTGTATGTCTTGTTTATGTGCACATTTAAGAGTTCACTGAATATAAGAAGAAAGACTGAAATGCCACATGTAGTAAGATTTTTATGGCTGCAGCCATCATGCAGGAACTGCAGTTGCCGCTTGGTTGCTGGAGCAGTGTTTATGTGCAGATTCAGAGCTGGGACAAGGCCCTGCCTGTGCTGATTACCACAGGAAAGAGGCGGAACAGTTGACTGCTTGCGGAGCAGG